TATTACAGCCATGTCTATGTCTGTCTAGGTTCTATCAACAATTGGCGATATGTATATATGTTGGTGTGTATTTGGACCAGATTGACTATCAGATATATTAATTTAATTTTATTTAATGTAAGTGGAAATTTTAATTAATAAATGTATTGTTGTAGAGGAGCTTAGTGACATAAAAAGAGTTTTTTGAAAATGATTCTCTTCCGAAGAGCTGTACCAGGATAGCAGCAATATTGAAATAAGATTTTTTGAGTTTAAAGTGTATTGTATTTAATCAATGTTATACAGTAAAACCTCACCAGGATTAACCTATACAAGCCCTCTCCTGAGAAACATATTTCAAACAAAAGCGGATCGCAAGCATTAGAGTATTAGTCGGTTACTCGGAAAGTTGCCGTTTGAAATTGAATCGCAATATTTCATTGGAAATACACAGCTATACGAGTCGATATATACATAGAGAATGTTTTCAGTTGTCAAATTAATATAAGGATGATATTGTGTTGGTTCTAACACCAAAAAAGCTACCACCAGTAACTGATATACAACTGTATTGTATTTACTCTGAAGTTACTTTTTAACTAATCCCTCATCATCACACTAAACGCTAATTAAAATTAAGCTTGTAATTCCGCTCCTCAGCGTACCATAGAAGAGCGGAATTAAAGTATAATATTATCTCTCATTAGTACACTGGCTCCTCTGAAAACAGACACAGAGAGTTCAGCGATTCGAGTGTCAGGTCACATATGAGAGTGTCTTTGAATCTATGTCTAGATCAGTAGGAAGGTTGGGGTTTACATATTTATTACATAGAGAATGGACATAACAAAATGTTGAAAAGAATAATCCTTTATTACATACATGTGTATGCCGTCCAAACAATACTGTATGGTATGAGAGGCAATGTGTTTGTAACTTAAGTCTATATATATGTACTAAAACAAAGATATTGTATAAAGGAATATGAAATAGTGAACCAGAGGAAGGAAAATGCTAATAACAATGTATTGGCAGTGTCAGGCTCTTTGACAATTAAATTTAAAAAAAAACTAGGCTTAAAATGCTGAAAAGCTAATACAAAGGGACCACGAAAGCTATTAAATACTATTAAAAACTGTGAGATAAATGGCATTTAAAGGACTGAGTACAACCAATAAGACATACTAGAATTTGTCAAGCACAGGAGCAAAGTACCGCTACACTTAATGGAAACATACATATTGAGATCAAAGAACATAAAGGAGACCAACTAACATATATGCCACTCAGGAACGGTGAGCAAGACATGTTAGGAAGTTTCTCGATCATAACAGGCATTTGAGGGCTTTAGGTAAGGCCGTACTTTTTGTCGAGGTAATGGTTTGGAAAAATTATGTATACAGCTGATAGGAGTGATTTGACATACTTCATGATATCAGAATGTTAACATTCTTCACAATTTAAAAGATTAATATACTGGAAACAAGAAAAAAAAAAAATAAATAAATAAACACACCAAGCGTACCTTCAGATAATGTACCATTAACTGGCACATAACACGAAGAAAACTTCCTGATAACACAAATTGGTGGATAAATAGAAATTTAACAAAAAGTATTTAAGACCGTGGTAAACGCGGCTTTCGCACATCTTTCATACCTTCATGGTTAATGCTGCATATAAAAATAACGAAAAACAACCCTTTCCAAAAAAGAAGAATATATATATATATATATATAAAAGGCCAACAAGGCAAATAAACTATATATATATATGTCAGGCATAGCCATTCGAAAACCCAAATTGGCTTCCATCGTTTTAAGTGTATAACAACGAAACTACTAGGTAAACATACAAGCATCGAACAAACCTAACGTCATATCGCATTTAGAAATAATAATTTCCTGGTGAGATCGCAGTGGGGACATAAATCTTTCCCACAACTTCCATTAACATGTAACTCTTTAAAACTGTATGCACTAATAACAGAAATCGTGATGATGGAAACAAGCACTTAAATACTGTCATATGTAGTCAACGTGAGCAGGATTGTTACAATCTAGAAATGGAAAAAACTCATTAGAAATCTAGAATCATCATGCTTATCATACAGCTCGGTGGAAAGCTGTCTTCGCTGGGTCCATTTCTGAAAAAATCGAGGTATATTTTAAGAGAATTTGCCAAAGGAAAATTCCATTCTCTTGTATAAATTAGATTACTTTATCTGTGCCAACATCACTCGTACGTTAATTGATACAGTAACTCTGGTATAATTGTGTGGTAATAGTGTTATGTATTATATCTAAGGGTTTAATTCTCAGTAATCAGTTTTGTTTTCGTCTGTTTAGTCTCTGTCTCTTTTGATCGCCAATTACCATTATATCGTAGTGACATCCTACTAGCCTCAAGTAGATATGTCAATGTAATTGCTTCAAGTCAATTTATAACCATACTGCTCCCGATTGTATAGGCTATATAAAATGAAACATGACGACTAGATAGCAGAAGTGTCTGGGAATGATAGGCCTGCTGGATTTACCCATGATTGGAATTTCATTGTTTTTTTCTCCAATTTAAGCACACACACCCTACACGTTGAAATGATTTGCGTTTCTATCCTTGGTTTGATCATTAGAATCTAATAATAATTGTTGTTTTTGCGATTTGAAGCCGACATGTAAACATTATTTCAAACGATAATTTTAAATGTGAGGACGTTAAGCCATAGATTTAATCTATGTCAATGTTTTTTATTATATATCACCCACCACTACCATATATGATATAAAAAGAACCTATTGTTATGATAATGTGTCTGTGAGTTGTGGCAGTTTTATTATCGACGTCATGATCAATAACACGACGATTCTTCTTTGAAGTCGCCGTTTTGCTAATCTTGGCATCATAATTTACGAAGCTTTTACCAGAAATGAAACACATAATCAGCTTTCACATAAGTTAAGAGTCGATTTATGATCAAATAGAATCACTTTACGTGTCTTTCTGTTGCAAAATAAAAGATGATTTTACTCTCTTCATATTAACTTAAACTATGGATAATCAATAAGTCTAATATGTGTATCATGTGACCATTTCTGTTACTATATATACATCGTCGTTTGACTATGTTTATAAAGTTTCGCTTCGGCAGTAATTTTTGGTAATGAACATTTTACTGGAATCTATGTATGTTTCCACTTGTCTTAAGGATCCATGGTACTTGAGTGTTATATTTTCTCTTTTTTTTTTCAGAAGAGTTCCACCAACAAATATCTATTATATCTTAATGTTTTTCCAATTCCAATATGAATAACGCCTTAAAGTAAGCTCCATTACATCAAAAAAGCTTTTAAAAAGGACATATTTACACGTATCCGTTGTTTATCACGATCTATTCCAACCCACATGGCCACATGAGTTTCCAATTTTTGATTCATATGTTTGAATTATATAAATTTAAGCTTATTTGAAGATCAATATATTGTTTTAAACCAATAACTAGATTAAAAGTTCCCAGTCCGTACTGGGTTAGGTTTCAGTGCTCCAGCTGCCTTAGCTTGGTCATATATGTATTTTTGCTTGTATTGGGTTGTAGTTATTTAGTTTCCATGACGCTTCTTTATAATCATGAGCTATTTTCATTGTAGGACATAACCTGTTAAAGCGGAACTGACTGAAAACCACTTTTACCCCCCTCTGTTGTGTCTTATGAACCCGTACCAAGGAAACGTCATTACTGAAACAATAATTCACGTAAATGGTACATCTATTTCTGGTCCTTAATCTAAATTCAACGGAAGGTTTGGAGATATTGTATTTGATCGGGAACTGTTATTCAAACGCTGGTAGGAGATAATTAGTGGTTTGTGAAAATGTTTGAAGAGTTTAGCAGATACAATTAGAACATTCTGTATGATTCCAGGACAGATCGGATTGATATATTTCAAAAGTTAATTTTGCCTTTATCGCTTTTGGCTTTTTTCGGCAGCAACCGAGGCCAAAAGACGTTAATCCTTGCTTTTATAGAGCGTTGAATATTTCATTCTCGTTTATGTTTAGCCCTGATAATGGTATTTTAACACAGAGCGGGTTCTGATATCGGCCTAGCTATTTCTCTCTTTGATATATATGACTTAAATTGATATCAATTACTAAGAATATATATATATTACCATGGCATTTTTGTCTGTTCGATGCTCCCGAAGTCATTCCTCATGAATCCTGAACAGGTAGATATGTGCCACATGTGGTGCTGGAAACGTCTTACCTTCTGGACCACCACACTTTTTCATTGTCGTTTGTCTAATTTTGTAATTAGAAATAATGGTTTCATAGCAGGGCTACATCCCACAGCAAAGGTGCTATATTTTAGACCTGATGAAAATGAAAATAGGGTGTATATAAAATGGTTGATAACGTAAGTCTTATCTACTAAATGTGAAAGTCTAAGTATACATATTGTGACAATATCTGATGTAACGAGTTTCTGTTTACAGCTTATACAGTTAGATCTCCGTTCCACTGATAAAGTTTAGAGAAGATGATTAGGTTGGGATTTGATGCTTGACATGATAAGTCATCTATTATTAAGCTGCATATAAATGCACTGGGAAGTTGAGTGCATATCATGTTTTGTTATGATACAAAATTATATTGTAGACCTATTCAGTAGTAAAAAGGAAATCTTTCTCTTGTGATGCGAATTCTTAACAGTCTGTCAGCACTGTGATGATATCATTTGTGCCTGTTTTATGTTGTTCTTTTCCAGTTCATCGTGTATTAAATGATTTGCAAGTTTTCATTTCTAATGTCCTTCCTATGTTTTGTGATTGGATGCCAAAACTTTTCTATTGTGTATTTTGGCACGTGCACTCCTTATCATATAAGTAAGAGATATCGATCCCGATTCATACTAATACGACCAATATATATATATAAAACAAATGAAAGTATCTTAGAAAAAAAAAGAGAAAAAGAAACATTAAGCAATGTAATTTCAAATAGGCAATAACGCACGAAGACCTCTTATCTGTATCAACATCCTGTATCAACATCGTATAAGAGTGTACCAGCTATGCACTCAACATACATCATTAACAAATTTATTCTGTAAGGGATAACTCGACTCTTCAATAATCACTCAGTATTGTACAGCAATATTCTGTACGAAAGTTGTTATACCTGTGCAGCTGCATTCTGTAAGGAAGATGGTATACTTGTCTAAATAATCACTCAGTACATGTACAGCAATATTCTGTTAAGAGATTGGTACAAACGTCTCAAAATTCACACAACACATGTACAGCAATATTCTGTAAACAGATAATCAACTCTTCAATTATCACACAGCATATGTACAGCAATATTATGTTTGGAGATTGGAATAACGTCTCATCAATAATTACACAACATATGTACATCTGTATTTTGTGAGATTGGTAGAAGCAACACCTTCAGTTTAATCGTTAATATGATTCTAACACAATGTTTTCATGACTGACATGTCCTGTGTATATCTACACACCTGTGGTGGGTATATCCATTACCGTCTTGTTGTGATCAGGTAGTTCTCTCCCTTCCCTTGTTAGCGCTTCTTGATACTTCGCCCTATATTTATTAAAATTGTAAAAATCACTAAAGTTCGATGACGTCACCGCGACCGGAAGTGCAATGAGCAAAATACCGGTGATTGAGCATAAGGCGCCAATACAATAGCCTTGAGGTGTTGTAGGGTAAAAGTCTCCATACCCTACAGTTGTCATGGTAACTATTGCCCACCAGATTGCCGTTAGGGCATTTGGGAACTTAACATGGGAGGTGCTATTGAATTCTGACATGTATAACAGAAACGCGAATATGACGGAGACACACGCGAATGTTATAGCAAGTATACATAACTCACGTGCACTCGATTTTAAAGAAAGTAGCAAAATCTTTACTCCACAATTATGCTGCATCAGTCTAAACACTCTGAAGATTCTAGTAGCATATAGCGTCCCAATCATGAACAAGACGGAAAATGCACCTTTGAAGTGGAATATGTCCCTGTAAAACTCAATCCACAGGATGTTCCAGATTGCAACCCACGCCACAAGATCTAATATGTTGAGGAGACCCTTCATAAAGTCCTCCTTACATGGGCAGGCATAGAGTCTAAGGAACCAATCAACCATGAAGATAAAGTTCAGGATGCCATCGCTGGTCATAAGTATGGGATGTGGCATTGTGTACCAGTACATCAGGAGTGGCTTCGACGTAATGTTGTATGGAAAAGGCAAAGTATTGGGGGCATCTACACGGAACATCGGAATGGACTGTAGGAGAAAGATGGCGGTCGATACAATGATCGAAAAGCATAGTATGACGTACCATATCTGGAATATAAAAAAGGGAAATAATTTAGATGTAGCTTACTATCGTATAACCACACACAACATTTTATACAAATCATATCGATAAACATTACATATTTATTCTATACAACAACGACGACGACAACAAAATTACCTACAACAACAACCACCCACAACAACATAACACTGTCAAATCAATAATCAACATCGTGCACCTACCACGACCTGGCAGTTAATTTACTGAATATATTTTTGCGAGCTAGTATTTTGCGGTTGTCTTGGTTTGAACAAGTCCAAGGGAGTGATATACCTTGCTTGTCTGTAAGTTGGTTTCTATGTACACAGGTATATAACATACATGTTCTCATGTTTTGCTTCCATGTAAAATGTTTTCAACGTATTCAATTTTACGCTTGTTTTATTGCCCGTGAAATTAAATCCTCAGTGAATATATTACAAAACATGCAGTACACACAATATATTTCTCCGACTTCCAACCTTGGTGTTGTCGTCTACCGACAGTCTGTCAAACACTCAGTATTGAGAGAATATTAGCAACGGATTATTTTGATAAACTAAACATAACCATCTGTTGTCATATTTATTTGTGAACAGCTATAAGAATATAAACATGTAAATTAAAATGTATTTCTGAGATAAAATCAGTAAGGTTAAGCTTCTCTTCATAGACAGCCTCCAAATTGTGTTTTTGTATTAGATGCTTTAAGACCATCTCACTATTAAGACTACCTCACTATTAAGACAACCTCATTATTAAGACCACCTCACTATCAAGACCACCTCGCTATTAAGACAACCTCATTATTAAGACAACCTCGCAATTAAGACAACCTCATTATTAAGACCACCTCACTATCAAGACTACCTCGTTATTAAGACAACCTCATTATTAAGACTACCTCACTATTAAGACCACCTCGCTATTAAGACAACCTCATTATTAAGACTACCTCACTATTAAGACAACCTCATTATTAAGACTACCTCACTATTAAGACAACCTCATTATTAAGACTACCTCACTATTAAGACAACCTCATTATTAAGACTACCTCACTATTAAGACAACCTCATTATTAAGACTACCTCATTATTAAGACATGTGACCAGTCAAACAAATAACAAAACTACTCTGTGTATATTCCACGTTATATATCTATTATACGTCACACCAGGCAGCTGACTATATTTAGATGTGAAAATGACTACTAAAATATCATAACTGTGTGTTCAATGTTATTAAACGAACAGATTAATTTAAGGAAAGTGAAAATATGGAGAAAAGTGGCAAAAAGGAAAATGTAAACTGCTTTTACTGTGTGTTAAGCCAGCTTCCTGTACACAATGAAAATAAGGACAAACCCGTAGAGAATCATAAGGGAAGTTTGTCAAGTCTCCAAGTTGAGGTTGTCTTATTAGTGGGACATTGGTAAATATGACACAATAAAACCAAACATAACTTTAATCATTTACATTTCTGCTGATGCGCCTTTGTATTTTTTCCTGTACACTTGTCAATTGTGTGAAGACTTCACGTCCGTCATGATAATGGGAATCTGGTGTAGCTCTCAATCATCAACATCAGGATAAGGTTAACAGACCACGTGGGAATTCTACTACACTGTAAGTCTCCGTGGATGTCCATTGATTTTGTAGGCACTGAAGCCATGTAGCACAGTTAAAGGTGTATATTACATGTATAACCTACATTTAGATAATTCTTACTGTTGTTCTAAAGTATAAATATGCTGTAAATCTTAGCCAAATATAAATTCTACGTTCCCTTGCTGTATTAGTCGGATAACGTAAAACGAGGATGAAAAAATGTCTAGTTTTAAAGCTTTTTAGTTACGAGTAACATTTTTACTGAATCCCATATCACATGTAGTTCAACTCCACTGTTAAAATTTATAATATTTTAACCCTAAATTCACGTTTGTCAAATTGTGACTTGGCCCATATGATATAAAACGGTATCTGTCCGATATCATTTTACGAATAAAGTCAGACTATTGATATGATTTGAGTACGAATCGTTAGAAATATGAAGATATCTCGTTAGATAAGTGTAATATAGCAAGTAGTAGATAATTTCCTTGTAATATGAATAACATGGATATAGATTTATGGTACACAATGTAAAATAAAATCTATTTTAAAGTTTTTTGTCTTACACAAATATTTTCAATACCTGTCTCAAAACTATATGACCTTTACAATATTTTCCCACTTATATCAAAATTGGGTTGCTAGACATACTCAGTTTTTGAAAATTACAAACAAGTTCTAACATGATTACCTTTTGATTTTTTTACTGCTAAAAAACAGTGTAATCTGATTATAGATAAGTTCAACCTATTTCCCCCTTTTCTGCTTAATCAACCAGTCATCCATCGACATGAACGTGATACGAATGATTGTCTCATTAATAAATTGGAAGTAGTAAATAGATATAACCTGTTATATGTATATTTGATATTCCCAGTGATGATATCCGACGACTCCATAGTTGAGATAAACCCTATTACATATACATTAACAATAACTATTGTGACACAGAGAAGGCATTCATTGTCAAAGCTGTCATCCAGAAATGAGATGTTTAGATAATAGGATACCATACACATCACAGATATGAAATATTGTTGTCTCATTCCGTTTAAAATTGTGTTCATGTAAACGCCAAACCACTTTACGCATGGGGGAATAGACGTTAACATAACTTAGAAACATTGTAAAGAGCTCGTAACCAGACAAACTGTTTATTAGAATGTAGCAATCACTGTGGACTTTCCTCGGTCGTCTCTTGGGCTTCAAACTTTAGGCCCTTAGCATCACTGACGAGTCCTAGAGGGACGAAATAGCTGTATCAAACTCTGAATTGATAAAAGGTGTTATTCACTAGTGTGTCATTGTACAATATCTGAGATACATTGATGGCACCACGTCTCATAATGAATTGTAACAGTGGATTTATTGATGAATTCATAGTATATAACAACCAGAATTAGAAATCAAAGACATGGCAGACTCATTTTCATACAACGAAACCATCATGGTGCACCTGTATTTCGATTCTCTGTTGTGAATTTTCCATCTCTGGATAGCAATATTTCTATATTCTCAATCTATGGTGTTTAAATATCGAAGTTGATTCGATAATCAAGGACCTGTTCGCTAACTGAAGGACAAACTCGTAACACGGGGTTTCAAAAGATGCAGATTGATGAATATTATGGTAAAGTTTTACTATCGTCATTATGTCTCATTGAGAAATATTCTATGTCTTTTTGCGATAAGGTGCTTGAAATGGTGGTTCCGTTGGTGTATACAAGATTTGCATGGCAAGTGTCGTCTATGAAGCAGAAGATGCTTACTCCTTTCAAAACACTAGGTATTATCCTTCTTTTACTCCGGTTTTATTCTTCTTTTACTCCGTCAGTAGTCTCCGTGCAAATCTTTCTTTTGTCCATATTTTGCCCGAGTTATGTTGAATATGAATTTGTATTTTGATAATGTTGAGATGCTGGTATTGCTGTTTTATTATTTTGTCACCATGGTAACACAAACATCTACAAATTATGTTGGTTCAACACCCGTGAATATTTGTGTTCCTAAGATGACCTATAAAGATACATTCTGTATCAATAATGTTAAATGAAAACATTGATTTCACACGATATACGATATATGATATACGTGTGATATACACAGGAATCTAACATATCCACAGTGGACGTCTGATAAACACAGGAATCTAACATATCCACACTAGATGTGTGATAAACACAGGAATCTATCATATCCCCACTTGACGTCTGATAAACACAGGAATCTAACATATCCACACTAGATGTGTGATAAACACAGGAATCTAACATATCCCCACTTGACGTCTGATAAACACAGGAATCTAACATATCCCCACTTGACGTCTGATAAACACAGGAATCTAACATATCCACACTAGATGTGTGATAAACACAGGAATCTAACATATCCACAGTGGACGTCTGATAAACACAGGAATCTATCATATCCACACTAGACGTCTGATAAACACAGGAATCTAACATATCCACACTAGATGTGTGATAAACACAGGAATCTAACATATCCACAGTGGACGTCTGATAAACACAGGAATCTAACATATCCACACTAGATGTGTGATAAACACAGGAATCTAACATATCCACACTAGATGTGTGATAAACACAGGAATCTAACATATTCACACTAGATGTGTGATAAACACAGGAATCTAACATATCCACACTAGATGTGTGATAAACACAGGAATCTAACATATCCACAGTGGACGTCTGATAAACACAGGAATCTAACATATCCACACTAGATGTGTGATAAACACAGGAATCTAACATATCCACACTAGATGTGTGATAAACACAGGAATCTAACATATTCACACTAGATGTGTGATAAACACAGGAATCTAACATATCCACACTAGATGTGTGATAAACACAGGAATCTAACATATCCACACTAGATGTGTGATAAACACAGGAATCTAACATATTCACACTAGACATCTGATAAACACAGGAATATAACACATCCACACTAGACGTCTAGTTGAAATGAAATATAATTTCTGTCGTGGTGTTTACTTCACACTCTGACATTAGATAAAGAGAACTTAATGAAACTTAACAATCTTGTTTTTATTGAATGTCAAATGTAATCATACGCATTTCCATGGAAACAGAAAAACCACCAGTAATCCCCATATATAAGCCCGTATATAATGTCGCACCAGCTTCGTATACTCTAATAATGAATCTGCTGATTTACTTTGAATAAATAGTATAATTACACAATTGTTATGACGTATTAGTCATAGCGATTCACTTCAGAATAAGGTTGGAGTTATTTTTTGTTGAGTTTATCGTCTCATGATCAGCCATAGTTATCTTGAGGCGGAAACTCCTTCAGGAAAACGATGACTACCTATAAATATCATAGGGGAGGACCGTCGCCTATTTTTGCCAAAGGGAATCGAACCAAACACTTCGGATCTTCACCCGTGGTTGCACTAGTTAGATGCGGTATCGACTGAGTTATCAAGGTGTTTTTTATGAAATGATATGCACACATTACATCTACAGTATCAATTCTTACAGGGACAGGTTAAACAAAGGCATGTTTAACGACCGGCAACTGAAAGTTAAACATCTGGTTGACTTTCCTTAGTCTTGTTTTTCACAGATAAAATAACAAAATATATCTATTTGTTGTTGTAGGCTGTACATTCCGTATAACCTCTGTCTATGTCAACATATACAGTGAATACCACTACGTCATGCATTAAAGTTTAATAAGGTCCAATGTTCAGTCTTTTTCGAACGATCTTAGATCCTAAAATATCTGACATTATGCTATGCCATAAAAACTGATTTTTTCACATGTTATGCCATATACAAATAATATTCTTTATTCAATATAAATTAACTGGTTTGATTTTTGTCACTTATTTGACAAAATCTTAAAATCACATTTAAACTTTTGTTTTTGTATCTTTTTCATAATTGTGTATACAATGTCTAATGGTTTCAATGATTGATGCAGTATTGTGCTGGACCTATCGACTATACTTTTTGTCTAAATGGTTTGTCTGAGAAGTTGGTTTGTTTTCACACACTAATTGATCTTCACGTTATAAATTGGTCGATATGTCTATCTTTCCTTCCGCCCTTTTCTCCGTCCATACTCATCTTCAATTAACACAATTATATGATCTAATTAAGGATGATCAAGATATCTCCAATTTAAACGTTACGTTACAAGCAAGTAAACTAAAATAAAAAGATTTCCAATAACAAACGAACTGCTAATTATCTCAACAAACACAGAGGATCCCAGAATTTAAGGAAGAAATATTCTTTAGAAGGTTACACTTTTTGCATTTCGGTTATATAATCATCCATTTGAATCTATCTTCTACATTCTTATTCCTAATATTAGTATTATCTGTTATCTCTAATTTTGATTGATGTGTCTGTATACTTGTTTATGCACTGTAAGGAGAGGGCTTTCATAGGCTCTGCCTGTTGCCCAATTCCTACTGTCAATACCACCATGACAATGAAATATTCTGAAAGAAAGAAGGTTACACCCTCTACAAATAAATTCCAGTCGTACGAAATGATATTATCTTTGATATTATCTTCATCCAATAAGAGGAAATGTTTTTGTCTTATCGTAACACTGTGGTGATGATTACACTACGTGTATAAAGTAGTTCTAAGTGTAAATGTACCTAAAGTGATACAGATTATCGTAGATCAATATCACTGAGTACTAAAACGTTCAGTCACAACTATTAGACATTTAAAGCATTTGTGTGTAAAAAAATACAGCATCCCTGAAATAACCGAGTTACTGGGATAATGTTAAAAAGTATGAATACGAAATCAATATTACTGGTGGGTTTTACTTACATAATATATACTTTACAATGTAGATTTAAAAAAAATCTCGTGGGTGAGCAAAATTATATCAATTGTCTACAAGGCAGACAATATCGAGCAATTTCTCCACGTTTTGATATCATAAACAATTCATACAGTAAGTACTGAGGAGAATGTGATACGTTTTCTGTTGGTGTTTTCCCCTTACCTAACATATATATGGCTGACGACTTTAGGTGGTACAGTGTCTGATGTATATCACCAACATCATTGTTTAGGATAAAAAAACAAAAAATAATATACGATGTACAACACCGTGATCTCTTTCATATGTAGAAAATGGACTGTACAGACAGGAACTAGCCTTTATGTTGAAATTGTTCAGAGAGTATCGACTGTGGACAATTTGCCTCTTAACCTATCATAGAATACATTATCTGGTCATGTCGTGCCTTACCTAAACATTGTTGGCTGCTATGATACTTTGTCATGCCTTACCTAAACATTGTTGGGTGTCCATTATGGTACTTTGTCGTGCCTTACCTAAACATTGTTGGCTGCTATGATACTTTATCATACCTTACCTACACATTGTTGTGTGTCCATTATGATACTTTATCATACCTTACCTACACATTGTTGGGTGTTATGATACTTTGTCGTGCCTTACCTAAACATTGTTGGATGTCCATTATGATACTTTGTCGTGCCTTACCTAAACATTGTTGGATGTCCATTATGATACTTTGTCGTGCCTTACCTAAACATTGTTGGATGTCCATTATGATACTTTGTCGTGCCTTACCTAAACATTGTTGGATGTCCATTATGATACTTTGTCGTGCTTTACCTAAACATTGTTGGATGTCCATTATGATACTTTGTCGTGCCTTACCTAAACATTGTTGGATGTTATGGTACTTTGTCATGCCTTACCTACACATTGTTGGATGTTATGGTATTTTGTCGTGCCTTACCTACACATTGTTGGATGTTATGGTACTTTGTCGTGCCTTACCTACACATTGTTGGGTGTTATGATACTTTGTCGTGCCTTACCTAAACATTGTTGGATGTCCATTATGATACTTTGTCGTGCCTTACCTAAACATTGTTGGATGTCCATTATGATACTTTGTCGTGCCTTACCTACACATTGTTGGGTGTTATGGTACTTTGTCATGCCTTACCTACACATTGTTGGATGTCCATTATGATACTTTGTCGTGCCTTACCTAAACATTGTTGGGTGTCCATTATGATACTTTGTCGTGCCTTACCTAAACATTGTTGGATGTCCATTATGATACTTTGTCGTGCCTTACCTAAACATTGTTGGATGTCCATTATGATACTTTGTCGTGCCTTACCTAAACATTGTTGGATGTCCATTATGATACTTTGTCGTGCCTTACCTAAACATTGTTGGATGTCCATTATGATACTTTGTCGTGCCTTACCTAAACATTGTTGGGTGTTATGGTACTTTGTCGTGCCTTACCTAAACATTGTTGGATGTCCATTATGATACTTTGTCGTGCCTTACCTAAACATTGTTGGGTGTCCATTATGATACTTTGTCGTGCCTTACCTAAACATTGTTGGATGTCCATTATGATACTTTGTCGTGCCTTACCTAAACATTGTTGGATGTCCATTATGATACTTTGTCGTGCCTTACCTAAACATTGTTGGATGTTATGGTACTTTGTCATGCCTTACCTACATATTGTTGGATGTTATGGTATTTTGTCGTGCCTTACCTACACATTGTTGGATGTTATGGTACTTTGTCGTGCCTTACCTACACATTGTTGGGTGTTATGATACTTTGTCGTGCCTTACCTACACATTGTTGGGTGTTATGGTACTTTGTCATGCCTTACCTACACATTGTTGGGTGTCAATTATGATAAACTTTTTATTCCCTGGGGAATCTGGTTATATCTTGACTACGCCAAGTATTATAGAGCACCAGAACACTTCAACATCATGACCATGACCTTCATTACCTATCAATAGCACGGCGACATCAAAACAATATCTTCAGGTATTATAGTATTTTATAAAGCTTACCTTCGCCAGAATATCATTCGGCATAACAGTATTTATATAAAGCTTTTCTTAGCCAGAATATCATTAGGTGTAACAGTATTTTTATAAAGCTTACCTTCGCCAGAATATCATTAGATATAACAGTGTTTTACAAAACTTACCTTAGCAAGAATTCCTTTTTTGCGGTTATTTAAACACGCCCACGTGCGACTCCTAAAGTTCTGTTCGGTTTCTGGCGGTTTTATGATGTTGGGAGAGTCACAACAGTCAGCGGAACTTGTAGTAATTCTGTTCTCCACACACGGTACGTGATGTAGCAATTTAGTAAGCACATCCATATCTTCATCTTTCTGGTAATAGTTCTTCCAACAACACCTGGAAAGGTGACTTTCTGGAACTTTCCAATAGGAAAGCTCTTCTCTTACCCGCTCGGCACACACGGAAGTCGGTATATGAAGCCTTCCCGTGGTGAAATAGTCGAGGATTGTATCAAACACTTCAGCACTCCGGTCAAAGAAGAACTCTCCACTCTCAGAATCAAAATATTCCGACGTCTTGTTCAAATTGGCGAGAGGTGAATCCTGTGGTACCTTTTCTAGGTTTTTCGCCTTAGTCTTAAACACCGTCCCTCTTACATTGATAATGAGGAAATTCATGACGTCTTTGTTTTCTCTTTTAGTTAGCGCATGACTTAATCAATTTTCTCAAATGATGAATTTGTTCAGCAGTCCGTGGCAACGATTTTCTGAAAACTTACATATATTTAATCAATATAGTATAGAAGAATCTGTTAATTGTTAATAAAGATTTATTAAATATTCTGTCTGAAAACTAAATTGATCCTGAGGTATGACAACACGGTTGGCTTGATTCAAAGTGAGTTGATATGACACAATTATCACCACGTCAGTCATGATGTGTTTTCATTCTGGAATAGGCACTGTAACAGGCTTCAGACGAGAACTGATTCATCTTAACACTGGTCCACAGATGTACGAAATATACCAGGCATGTTCAAAACTTTCAATCACAGTTTTGAGAGAAATGGAAACAACCTCTTACAAACCTGGCTTTAATACCAGGCAAATCAACGTGTAACATCATGGTCATTACAAATGTAGGCAGCAGTACCCTAAAGCCTTGACAGTGTATTGTCAGTATTAGCACGAACAGCCAACATAACACCCCCGAAGCACTCCCCAGCTACATACCGCTACAACACACAGCGGGCTAGCAACAGCATATAACCTACTGCCTACCACAGTTAATGCACTTTTCTGAAGTGTACTCTGGCTCATAATTGGACACGAGACAATGCCCATTTTCCGAGGTCTCTTAAAAACCAACGTTATTTAATATTTAATATATCGTTTGCGCTCGATAGATCCGCTTGTGTATGTCTTGTATAATGTTTGTTTGAATTTCTTATTCGAGTGTCCACAATGATTTTAGTCATTTGAATAATGAACAAGTTTCTTTATGATAATACCTTGTCATCCGATTAGAGTTGGACTGTGACAGAAAAGCACAGCGCAATGCAAGCAACAGCTGTAGATGGCAGCATGATCGTGATTAGTACGTGATTTTTCCGTCCTGTTTTCGCATGGCTGCAGTTCATTTTGTTCTGAAATGAAGCAGTCATGTCGAATTGTGTTAGAGTAACTTAGCAACGTAATGGAGCAATATGAGTGGTAGCTTGTTAACAATTACAGGATTTTTTCTTTCCCCTTCAGAACATATATATGATCAATATATGGTTAATTTATCGCATTTTTTATGTTTGTTTCATTGATAATTTTCACATGTGAATTCGTCAACGTGAACATTGAAGTCGTCACAGTTAACTCGTCACAGTTAACAGTAAATTCGTCACCGTGAACATTGAATTTGTCACAGTGAACAGTGAAGTCGTCACAGTGAACTCGTCACAGTGAACAGTGAAGTCGTCACAGTTAACAGTAAATTCGTCACAGTTAACAGTGAATTCGTCACAGTGAACAGTGAAGTCGTCACAGTTAACTCGTCACAGTGAACAGTAAATTCGTCACAGTGAACAGTGAAGTCGTCAGAGTGAACAGTAAATTCGTCACAGTGAACAGTGGAGTCGTTACAAAGAACAATGAACTCGTTACAGATAACAGTGAATTCGGCACATTGAACAGTAAATTCGGCACAGTGAACAGTGAAGTCGTCACAGTGAACAGTGAATTCGTCTTGGTGAACAGTGAATTCGTCGTCGTGAATAGTGAAATCGTCACAGTGAACAGTGAAGTCGTTACAAAGAACAATAAACTCGTCATTGATATTCCAGTCGACTGTGTTGTGAGTTATTAACAGTCTGCTGTGAATCAGTCATACTATCCTATAGTTGTTGTCCCTGCCATATCGCCTATGATACACAATCCGCGGTGGGAACGACCTGGTCGTGTCCTGATTACTGTGACATACACCAAGGGAGATACCACAACGGCTTATCCAGTCAATAAATGCTAGTCCGAAATATAACGGCTGATGTTTTATAGACAACACGTGTCTTTATAGTCTACAACCGAAGGTATGTTGTAACTGTTGGTTGAAACTACTGGGTAAAACTGCTACATTACAGCGTTTAAGACGTGACGAAGAAAAAAATATTTCCTGAATTTATCGCTCCGAAATTTTTTTTTAATAAATTTATGATAGAACCTCCTTTTAGTAGCTGATAGCTACATCATTGGACAACACACGGGAGGTGGTTTGCATGGCTATTCAGGGCAATTGTGGGGTAAAGTGTCTTGACAAAGGACACAACCACGTCAGCGAGAACCGAACCGTTTAAGCTTCCCGAGAAACACAAACCGCCACAGGTATAGCAGGAAGAGTCGAACCACGATCCTCGGGTCTTCACCTGGTGTTGCGTAGGTTCAAGTTGTAAGACTAAGATATCATGGCCTATATATATATCTGTGTATTATTTACTTGGTCTGAATAGCTAGAAGTGATACAGCGAAAAGTTGCTGAACAAAAACAAACCTTAACAAAAGAAGCCATGTGACGACCTTGATCAATATCATAACAATGGATGCTTGAAGATACTACAACGAGTATCGATTTTCAGCTTGTCTCTTTGATTCGGGATGATCTTTTGATTAGTTACGAAAGCGTCACCACCAAACATTGACGATTGTCGCAAACAGGCCTGATTCACACTTTACAATATCTCTCGTCTCTAACTACATTACAATCCACTACAATGGATAGTTATATACTTAATGTAAAAATCATGATAGTTAACGGTGTAAGTATATATATGTTGTCTCCTATCAAAGATGTAAATATGAGAATAAATCTCCTACTCATATACATGTTTAAATGAACACCCTTATTTGTTGACAAGTGATACTTAATTAATTAAATAATATCCCTGTTTTTATAAAATATTGCATCACACAGTTAAGGGTGATAATTCGGGTAAATCAAAAATGTTGTTAATTCTTTATACTGTAAACGTACTTATTTGCCCCAGTCAACCATTACCGCTATATCAACTTGTTACAAATATGTGTAATGATGAAATATCAGTAACTACTGCATTGATGACAAACGGTAACTGCAAGTGGCGAAATAATATTTTAGCGTAATATATCTAGCACGAAAGGCGCTAAAATAAAATGACCACTAAAGTAGTCTAAGGTTATGAGACCCATTTAATGTAGACTTCTTGTTATCAAATATCGACAACAGATTTAGCAACAATTTCGTGATAAAGTACATTAATTCAATATTTCTGATAAATTCTACTGATTAATGTAAACTATCACAGAATGCGTGACATTATGAATTATCGACATTGAAATCCGTCAACCGGAACCCTCATTTTGGCGGTGAAGCGTCACCATTTTTGTCAACAATACTGATGTCATAAAGGTCAGGCGCTGAATGACATAAATTGTAGCTAGGTTAGCACTTGTTTACTGGTATGACCGTTTGCATATGAATATCGAAGTATGATGATTTATATATGGCAATCACAAACGATGCATTCATTTTGTATAATAACTAACATTCATCAGACATTCGTGGAACTGTGCATTGAAAAAGTACATGTTTACAAAACTTCACTGAAAATATTGAAACGTTTCCATTTTAGCTGTTAATTATGTATTCACTGTTTCTTGCAACAGATGATGTCTATATCATTGTAAGCACCATGTGCCTTCTATCCCTTGTGAAATCACTTAACAGTATTGTGAAGTCATAACTTGCACGTGTTTTGAAAGTCAGATACTGAATATTTGATATACCGCTAGCCAGTGAACGAAGTTATGGGATAAACGATAGCACTTCGACGATACAAAATCTACGGGAACCACACAGGGGAAAGGTAACTTCAAACAGACTAATGGATAAATATAGCAAGCAGACTATCAATGGGTGATACATCAGACAGACTCTAATGGGTAATATATCAGACAGACTCTAATGGGTGATATATCAGACAGACTCTAATGGTTGGATATATTAGACAGACTCTAATGGTTTGATATATCAGACAAACTTTAATGGTTGGATATATTAGACAGACTCTAATGGGTGGATATATCAGACAGACTCTAATGGTTGGATATATCAGACAGACTCTAATGGTTGGATATATCAGACAGGCTCTAATGGGTGATATATCAGACAGACTCTAATGGTTGGATATATCAGACAGACTCTAATGGTTGGATATATCAGACAAACTTTAATGGTTGGATATATTAGACAGACTCTAATGGGTGGATATATCAGACAGACTCTAATGGTTGGATATATCAGACAGACTCTAATGGTTGGATATATCAGACAGGCTCTAATGGGTGATATATCAGACAGACTCTAATGGTTGGATATATCAGACAGACTCTAATGGTTGGATATATCAGACAGGCTCTAATGGGTGATATATCAGACAGACTCTAATGGGTGATATATCAGACAGACTCTAATGGGTAATATATCAGACAGACTGTAATGGGTGATATATCAGACAGACTCTAATGGTTGGATATATCAGACAGGCTCTAATGGTTTGATATATCAGACAAACTCTAATGGTTGGATATATTAGACAGACTCTAATGGGTGGATATATCAGACAGACTCTAATGGTTGGATATATCAGACAGACTCTAATGGTTGGATATATCAGACAGACTCTAATGGGTGATATATCAGACAAACTCTAATGGGTGATATATCAGACAGACTCTAATGGGTGATATATCAGACAGACTCTAATGGGTGATATATCAGACAGACTCTAATGGGTGATATATCAGACAGACTCTAATGGTTGGATATATCAGACAGACTCTAATGGGTGATATATCAGACAGACTCTAATGGTTGGATATATCAGACAGACTCTAATGGTTGGATATATCAGACAGACTCTAATGGTTGGATATATCAGACAGACTCTAATGGGTGATATATCAGACAGACTCTAATGGTTGGATATATCAGACAGACTCTAATGGGTGATATATCAGACAGACTCTAATGGGTGATATATCAGACAGACTCTAATGGTTGGATATATCAGACAGACTCTAATGGGTGATATATCAGACAGACTCTAATGGTTGGATATATCAGACAGACTCTAATGGGTGATATATCAGACAAACTCTAATGGGTGATATATCAGACAGACTCTAATGGTTGGGTATATCAGACAAACTCTAATGGTTGGATATATCAGACATACTCTAATGGTTTGATATATCAGACAGACTCTAATGGGTGATATATCAGACAAACTCTAATGGTTGGATACATCAAACAGACTCTAATGGTTTGATATATCAGACAGACTCTAATGGTTGGATATATCAGACAGACTCTAATGGTTGGATATATCAGACAGACTCTAATTGTTAATATATCAGACAGACTCTAATGGTTGGATATATCAGACAGACTCTAATGGTTGAGTATAAATGAAAAAGACGAAGGCAATGTGGAAGTTAAAGTATTATAGCCTCACGGTCCTGGCAGGATAATTTGTAATTTTTTTCAAAGTCATGTAAATACTGTAACATTTGACCTTGTTTGTCGTCATTTCTCTCTATGTATATTAAAATTTAAAGAATTCATTCCCCGCCAGACATATGAAGATTATTGACCTGTATTCGAATCCCCTTTCCTATCCCAATGTCGTACATAAA